ACCAATCACTAGCCTTCCCAATAAACCCAATTCATTGAAAGTGGATTGGAAGGGAGCCCCAATTGATTTACGCAGCGACCCAAACGTTCATCTTCTCCATCCGGACGAGGTCTCTCTTGCGGCCAATCTTCGTCTTGATTGTGCAACTTATCTTACCTCCAAACGTCGAATCTTTATGAAACGAATTGAAGCATTGAGAGTCGGAAAAGAGTTCAGAAAGACAGACGCTCAACAGGCATGTAAGATTGATGTCAACAAGGCTAGCAAACTTTGGCAAGCATTTGACAAGGTTGGCTGGCTCAATCCATCATGGGTCAAGAAGTATGCCTAGAGCGATGACTCTTGTCGGCTGATCAATTTTTTTGCCACTCAACACTATCACCTACCACTATGATTCTACTGGTATTCATACCACTATACGAGCCACGATTACGACCTCTGCCTGCCTTTTTTATCCATGAAATATTTATCTTTTTTAACTGCATTGCGACGGTCATTCGCTTACACTGAGACTCAGTTTTTCTTGACATCGCAGTTTGACAAGCATATGGTACTTGGTTCATTTGTTTTCTTTCTATTTTTCTGCCTGGTGCATATCATACATACATATCAACATCATATTATCTTGCATCGGGCTGCTTTGATACCCAAGAGAGCCTGCCCAGCTCCTCTCTCACGATAGCTTTTTTCTTGTTTCATCTCTTTTGTTATTTATGGCAGGGGAATATTATATTCCAGCGTGTCTCATTTCTTGCTAATTATTCTTTGACTTTAAAGTCTGGATACATACATCTTCAACACTGTGGATGAATTTTTTCATTTCTTTTTCATTTTTAGAAAGGATGGATTAGTTTGTTCTATGGAATATGGTTGACCTCCTGCATGGAGGGAACACCATTGGGCGTTTTGATTGACATATGAGTGGTATCAACTCTACTCGTGGACCATGGATGGTCTGGTTGTGGGGGTATGGCATGGCATGGCATGGCATGGATGGGGCTTGTTTGAGGACTGGTTGGTTGCATTGGGTATGGGGTGGGCGGATTTTTTCTACGTGCGTACAGATTGGATTGGACTGGAAGATTTGTGAGCGAGAGGAACACAACAATGAGTGCACAGTGTGGTCTGTCATGGCATGTCATTAGATTGAATAGTTGTGGCCTTTGAAAACTCGAGAATTATCTTGTATGAGAATGGATGGATGGATGAATGGATGGATCAATGAAAGTTGGAGATGGATGAATACATACAGATATAGAGTGTCAAAGTGCGTAATTAGTACGTTGTGGGTTGGAAAGTTAGATAGTCTCTCTTCCATGATAATTCTGGCATTGATATATTTTAAGCATCTTTGACGATTGTGTGTGAGTTTGGATGTTGGATGTTGGATGTTTTTGTGATCTTTCTTTGATTGAATGGGTGGATGGAGGGGAGTGCATGTTGCCAACGTGTTTGTATTATCCGTATTGTTTGGTTGCTTAATAGTGAATCAATCGTTAATGCATGTACTCGAGTAGTTTGAGTTACCTACCTACCTACCTACCTACGTATGCGTAGATACGTACTAAGAACATATAGATAGATATGACATCCCATCCCATCTATCTCAGCCAATCTATAAAAGCTATACAATACAAAGTATGTAGTACATGATACATAATACATAGCACGGAGCTAGCTACCCAGGTACCCAGCTACCCAGCTAGCTACTCAGTTAGCTAACCGATAAACGATAAACGATAGATGATAAATGATAATTTACTCCCCCCCCCCTTTTTGTATGCATTACTCACAAGCGAGATGTGCTGGTTGTTATTACGATGGGTACTGCTATTGCTGCTGCGATGAGTATTGTGGTGAGGATACTGGTATTGCGATGAGGATACTCTGAAGCCTAGACCCTGGATCTTGGAGTGATTTTCATGATTTTCATGGGTTTTTGCGGGTTTAACGGGTGTGTTGGATATACTTTGTGATTTTGAACTTTGGTTTCCTTTTCTTTTTCTTTTTCTTCGAGGGTTTGAGGTTTTGAGGTTTAGTTTTATTTTTGATATCTACTTTTGATATCTATTTGTTTAATATGTAATATGTAATATGTAAACCTGGATGGATTGAGGAAGAGAGTGAGAGAGAGAGAGGATTTCACGATTCTTTTACCATGGAATATGATGTCATGATGTGATATGATATGAGATATCTATCCGATTCTATCATTGATATCTGCATAGTACTGTAGCATGTCAAGAATTTTGGTTCGGTTTGTCGCTTATTGTGACAGATGGATGGATGGATAGATGAATGATGCGCGGAAAGAAACTTCGTTTCTACGAAATTAAGAGGGCTCTAGATAAGATGCTTGTTTGACGGGGAGTGAGTGATGCTCTCATTTTTATGATATATACTATCTTATCACATTTTCTAGTATCAAACTGTATAGTAGTAGGTAGGTATTCAGAGAAACTTTTATTCTTAGAATCATTAAATCGTATCCTATCTTATCCTATTCTATCATCCTATTCATCTCGTCAAGAAATTCTTTTATTAATATTACCCCGGATTTTCAAGCACAATCAAGCCATTCCCTGTCCAGAATTAAGTAGACCCTCTCTCTTCGCCTCATTAATAGCCTTTAACTTTGCTGTTCCTACACCCGCAACACCAGCCTGTTGGTCCTTGCCCAACCACGGTTTGACTGCATCACCCAACATACTTCCGGAAAGGAAATAGACGAACAATCCGAGAATAATCAATACAAATGCAATTGGATACAAATAGTAGATGGTGTATCCGAAAACGTTGATACCAATGACCACACCCCAGAAATTGGCTGTGAGAAGCGAGATATCAAAGAATGCCGCAGATGCCATTCGTAGAATAATAGGAGCGAGGGTATAGAAAAGTGTAAGAGCGAGTGTATAACCAACAATATAACCTCCGACTTGGCCGTCCCAGACGGCGGTCTGGAAAGAGTGACGATCAAATATGGCAGCTGTGATACCGTTGATGATAATACCAAAGAGTCCAAGCATGCCTAAAACTTCATACATTGGACGTTTGGAAACGAACCATTCTTCAAAAACGTTTGAGAGACCATAGAGGGTAGCGCCGGCTAATGCAAACAGATCGCCCTTCAACATGGTAGGTGGGTTGCCTCCATTGGTACCAGTGATATGATCAGATGCAAGAAGAATACCCATACCACCACAGCAAACGAGAATGGAAATGACTTGGAGCCACTTGTATCGAACACCGAGGAAAAGGAACGAGACGATTACAACGCAAACGATGGACCAAAAGTTGATGAGTTGAGCGCTGAGGACATTAGCTGTAGGATGTTAATAATTTTGTAATATGAATTGTTGAGAAAATAGGAATACGTACTCCATCGGTAAGCCAACACAGTGAAATAATTTCCCTCAACATCCATGAAAGATAAGATGATATACTTCCAGCCATCTACCCAGAGAAGCTTGAAATAATCTCTCCATCCATACTTGTAGATGGTGTAAGTCGTGTAGATGGCGCACAACACAATGTAGTTGAAGAGAGTCTGGAAAGCTGGGATCGAAGTTCCCTTATTCGCAAGGAGTGTAGTGAATGTATTGGTAGCCGTGATACAAAGGGAGAGAATTTGTCTGTGAAACGAATAGGTTAGAATTGAAATAATGTGCTGAAATTGATTGGCATAATATAAGACGTAACAAGTCCTTTTCAGGGCAATGGTGTTAGTTGTCTCATGGCTTGGTCTCCCAAGCTCTGAAGTAGCAAATACTTTAAAGTTGCAAAACATCATATGGACTCGTTGCCATCTTATGTCAACACGGCGCGAAAGCAGAAAAACTTACCCAAGAATTAAGATAATCCAAAAGTCTCTTGTAAGCAAATAAGCCCACCACTTTTTATTTTTGGTCTCCAAGTTTTCAATGGCATGTTCCAAAATCTCTCCATCGACTTGATTTCCTGCGGCTCTATCGCTAGCCATATCAGAGCTTCCACTGCCCTCAGCGCCATCGCTGGATTTTATATGCCTGTCTCCTTCCAAAGCATTGACATTGGCCTCTACTCCGGTACTTTTCCCACCGTCTCCCATTTTGGAACTCATATTGTATTTCCCGAATCTTTCTCTATGGAATTCCAATTGATCCTGGCCCTCGTCTTGATATTCAGAGTTGACGTCTAGGTCTGAGTCTGAATGGAAGGTGTCTTCTAAGAGTCCGATTGTCGATTGTAGATCCACGATTAGTGCCGAAAAGGGTTTCCAGTACTTGGTTTGACGAAAGGTGGTAATTTGGGTAGTAATGACGTTTGCCGAACGAGGGGTCGTTTACTAAGTTATAGTCGGCTTATCGTAAAGTCGATTTCCCCAATGTGCAAATTGATTAATAAGTCTTTCTACTCCTCCACCGTTGTAAATTGTGAGCGCAAAGACTTCAAGTCGCTCACTGTGATAATTATCTTATCTGGTTCATTGACCGATATCGTATACAGATGAGATTCAGTGAAGAGCAAAAGAAGAAGAAGAAGAGAATCAGTGATGGGAATTCAGATTACTTTAACTTTTTTGATAAGCCTCCATTTATCAAATAGTGGGGCATGAGGTGCATAGTGGATCCATCCGACGAGCAGAGTTCGTTAAGGGAAAGTTTGTGATTGGATTAATGTAAGAACCAGGATCTCGTCCGAAGCTAAGGGCGGGACAATGTGAGCTTAGACTGGGGCCGGACAACCCCGATGAAGAAAAATGAAGAGTTTTTTGGTAGTAAAATTGGATCAGTGGATTGGATGAGTGAGTTTGTGAATACATTGAGAAGTGGCAGGACGACGTGGACGGTGAAGAATATCTGACACATGGGAATTGAGAAGTACGTGGGATATCTAGTCTCCAGAAATATGATATGTACGCCACTTTTTACAGCTCCACAAACGCCATCAAGCCATGTTTCGTCTCATTCGTGATATACACTTGGGCTTTTCGAATATGTGCATGTGCAGTATCTCACTCAACCCAAGAACTCCTTCAGTGGCCCGCCGACATGTTCTACATCCAATAAGAATGTATCATGTCCAAATTGGCTCACGTCTTCTCCAAGCTCAACATGACTTACTTTGGTATTCCCTGCCTTTCTCAGCGTGTCGGCAATCTCTCTTTGCTGCCATGCAGGAAACAAGATATCGCTAGAAATGCCCATAACTAGAGTAGGATGATCTTTCATGGCTTTCATCCCAGATACCAAGTCCGCAGGGGGACCTGAAGATGGCTCAATGGGTGTATTGATATCTGTTGTCCCATTTGCTTCTGGTTGTTCCTGGTATGGGCTATCTGGAAGAGTAAGGCTGCATGCGAGAGAAGATTCAGAACCAGCCCCATTTCCCTTACGGGCTAAATTATCTGCCCTTCGTGATGAAGCCGCCAGCTGATTTGTCGCTCCGAGGTCAAAGAGGTCCATAGCTTTGCTGACATATAGAAGACTATTTGCATCATACTCCAAACAAAATTTCTCGCCTGCATGATCTAGATACGTCTCGATAAGGAAGTCTGGACACAAGGCAGGTTGCTTGCTTGAATCGGCTCTTCGTCGACCAAATCTTAACTCCCATTCAGGTCCTGAACGGTATGTTACAGTTGCAATTTCACGCGCAAGTTTCATGCCTGCGTGAGGGGGAATATGATCGTAGTAAAATCCCCGATTCCAATTCTTGTCCATCATCAACACTTGCCGTTGAGTATGGCGCATTGCAATGCTGTAAGGATGGCTTCGGGCACATCCAGAAATACTGGCCACTCGACCAACTCGTTCAGGAAACAGAACACCAGCAGCCAATGACTGCATACCACCCATACTCGAACCAACACTCGCATATAGTTTTTTGACACCTAATCCATCGAGTAATCGAAACTGTGCCCGCACCATATCCTCCATGGTAAGAATTGGAAATCTCGTCGCATATCGTTTTCCGTCTGCTGGGTCAATTGTCGATGGTCCTGTCGAACCATAACACCCCCCAATAACATTCGTGCATATGATATGATACTTGTTCGTATCAAGGCTTTTATCCGGACCTATAAACTTTTCCCACCACCCTGGCTTAGGATTCGCTTCTGTTGAATGTGCATGTGAAGATGCAGACAATCCAGTGTGCAGTAAAATGACGTTCGACTTGTCTGCGTTCATTTCACCCCATGATTCATAAGCAATGTCGAATTCTCGCAATACTCCCCCCCAGTCAAGCAATAAAGGATCATCGCAGTGAAATTTAAGTGTCACTCCGCTAGTATAAGATGGTTCTGGGCCACTTGAAAGGGATCGAGCTTCTAAGGTCGCAGACTTGGTTTCGAGAGCATCTAGACAAGGGAATGCCATGGCCGGATTAGAAGCCTCTGCCAATGACGCCGGAGTAGCATTTCGTGAGCTAGATCCATGGCAGGATCTAGAGATATTTTGTGAGGATGTTTGGAGAGGGGTGATAGCTTGAAAAGCCAATTGTCTTGTCCAAAGTCTTGGAGCAGCTTTCGTACCCCTCACACCTGTTCTCGCAGTCGTGATAAGACTCCTGGCAGCATTCATCTTTGATGGTTCGAAGATTAAGAAGAAATCATTGTTTCACTGAAGTTTGAGAAATCAACTTACACTTTAGAATTAATATGCAATTTTGTTTTGTCAGCGGATTCGGTCAAAACAAAAGCAGCCACCACTGGCTTACAATGCAGCTTCTAGATAGCACTATTATCTCTTTCAGCCAATTGCGTGCTAGAACGTGACATTTAGCTGGGTACATAGAAGGCTGAAGCCTTGCTTGTTTTTCCCATTCTAGCTATCTTGTAACCTTACGCTAATGCTGGGACCCATGAAGTGGGCACGTCATGGAGGCAAGATCAATGAAACCCGTGGACATCCTTGGACGTTCATTTGTGGCACAGCTGAACCGGCACAATGACAACCTGCTACCTACAAACACATGCTTCAATTTGGGAAATATTTCTACAATACCATCTCCAACATAATGTCAGGAACAGACCAAAACAAAGAATCAGAGCTACCCCTCAGCATGCAGTTTTATGACTCGGAAAGATATCAGCCATCCTTAGAAGATGTGCTCACGGTTAAAAACATCCTCTTCACTCTACGCCCGGAATCCCCGCTACCTCTAGAGCTCATCGATGCCATAATAGACTTATCCGAATATTGGCCTCATACAACAACCAAAGGGTTTTTCTTTCCCGGTCAGGAAGACGGTGACCAGAGCCTCAACATCAGTAGACGAGAAGTCACCATCAGAGCCGGTGGTCCGTTAGAAAATAAGTTCCTTTTACGGACCCTTCCCATCGGCTATCTCCCATCTCCAGGAAACATTAAAGTTTCTTCACTCGAAATACATTCAGAAGATCAATGGAAGTTTTCCAAACAGATACCCAAATTCTTGCCAAAAGATCGAGAAATTCCACAAGATGCCACAGAGGAAGTCCTCACCAAGTGGGCGGAGAGATCACAAATTCGTGGGGAACACCCTTGCAAGAAAATCGTATTTCATCTCAGAAGTCACGATCAAGGATGGGGAGGTGTACGTACAGATAAAGGAACATACAGAGGATCATACACGTGGTTTGACGTCGGTCTGGAAAGAACATATGCCACGAGGAAAGGTAATTCATCATGTTTCTTCCAGGCTCATACCAATAACATATCCAATCTTCAAGATCTAACAGCTATCAAACCAGCAGAACACATCCCTGAAAGTCCCTCTTTCCGTCTCTCCAGCTCTGACTCGGACACACAAGAATCGACGAGTGAGATCAAATGCAGTACACAAACAATCTTCCCCGACGTTCAAATTAATCCAAGCTATGATCGTGAAAACGACGCAAACCCGGCCACAAAATACCCACACATGTTTATACATACACTTAACCCCCATAACAAGATCCTCCAGAAAAACAAAACCGCAACAAAGGGTTTTGAGGATCACAAGATAACATGGAGATTCAATGATGATATACATCCAGAAAGTCCCGAAGCAGACGAACTAGAAGCGCAAGGTAGAGGACGAGAAACTGCTAATGGTGAATTCGTTCGTAACCTGGAAATTGGTGATGTGGTAACGCTTTGGGCGAAAGCGAGGTTTCCAGGTTGGGCCAATACTGTGGAGGATGTGAGTATGGATGTTTATTATGCGGTTTAAGTGTTTTAAATCTACGTGGTGATTCGGTGTTATCCAGGGATCAATATGCAGAGATTTAGAATCGTTTGGAGAAGCTTCACCTTCTGTTGTCGAGGTGCTATTGAAGAGAAAACTGAGAAAGGTGATGAGTCGTTGCCGGAGATCGATGTGAATATTGGCATGGGGAAGAGGCGCGTCGATGATTACATTGTTCGGACGGCTCTGAAAATTTATGAGCAGCGGGCTGCTTGCTCATGATAGATGGTAGGGTAGGGTCAAATTGATATACGAGGGGTGGAGTGATGAATTAGCTTAATGGTACCATGATACCAACCACACACAAAGAAGTTTACATTATTAGAAGAGTTGTCTCCAACTTCAGTATCCGGCCGTATATGGTGATAACACTTGGTGCGATATGCCTTGGGAAACACATCAGCACCCGTTCAATACCAATTGTCGATGTCAACCTATTTTGGAATGATTCATATCTATCTTAAACCCTCTGTAAAAAAAAAAATACACTTAACAGTTTACGATGAAATTTCATTTATGCATGTCCTATACACTTTTAATTTTATCATACAAGTAGTCCCCGCATCCATTTTAAGTACATCACTGAATCTTCTTTCCACTAGTTGTCAACTTCAATGGTACAGGCTTGCTCCATAACCAAAGAGCAACGAATACAACCCATCCTGTAACTGTGGCGCCAATTCCGGCAATCCATGGCCAGGCATTGCTGATTGCCCAACTTCTGGTATATTCATCATGGGCAAAGTGTCTTACTGTGACGGTGTTCTTTTCCTCGATACTGGTGAAGAATGGTCGCTTGTAGTTGACCTTGAAGTTAAAGATACCGTGTTGGTCTGGAAGCTTGAAGCTTGTGGTATATGTTTGAGACTCGGAAGTGCTAGTTGATGGCTTAAGCACAAGACGATGGAATGGTGAAAGCATAGAGAACTCGAGCTGGAGGGAGTCTCCAGTTGGTGGGATAAATGGAACCCATTTGTCCCATGAATACTCAGAAAGCTCGATTTCGTATGTCTATTAAATTGTAAGCTAGGTTTCAATAAATGTCAATTGCGTTACGTACCACATCGTTCTTAATTCTGTAGATCTTTGGATTGGTGTCATTGCTCTTGACACCATTCTCATGAAGGTAATGCTTGATGCTTCCAACCTTAAGAACTCCAATTTCTTTGAAGGTCCAGCCGGTAACCTCTTTTGAGAATTCTTGATTGGCAGTTTTGGTCTCCTTGGCGTCAGATCCAACACCTCCCATTCCAATGCTACGCTTGACCTTAGCATCAAACCATGTGTCCTCAAGGATCTCTGATGATCCAATGACTGTGAATCTAGCAGAGTTTCTAGCTTGCATGGTGGTAATGAGTGATAATTGTTGTCCAACGGCAAATGGATCTTCTACACCCTCGATATCCTCCTTAGAGTTGTAAGAGTATGCGGTTCTTGGAGCTCGGAGAAGTGGAGTCAATAATGGACTGGTGTTTCCCAATGTCTGTCCAACACCTCTTGGGAAAGCAATGACTTCCCCGCCTTTGCCATCTCCACGGAAGTAGTTCTTAACATCTGGTCTGACAGCGTCAGGTCGTGGCAGAAGAACAACGTCGTGCTTCTCTTCAGCACTTAATGTATCATAGTTAAAGTGATCAACAACAAGAGAATTGCGGTCTGTTGGAAGGTGGATGTCGAGCTCCAAGAGTAATGAGACAAGGGCAGTGGGGGTAGGGTGAGATGATGAGAGTGTTAATAAGATATTTCCGCCCTTGTTGATGAATTCGAGAAGGAGCTTTGGTGTCAAAGCTGGTCCCAGACCTGCTACGTATTAATTGGGCTCATTCTAGTGATGTAGGACTCGTACCTTTCGACTTGGATGGCAAGATGAGTAGATGGTCGAAGGAACGCTCTCCCAATTCAAAAAGTCCCAATTTCTCGTTTTTCGGCGACTCGTATGTTAATTTATATCCTCGTGCTATTTTCGCAGATGATTTAGTAAAATGAACCTCACAATTGTAAATTTACTACCACGAATAGCTACAACATACCTTCAAGATCTCCAAAGTATTTCGAGTATTTCGACTTCTCAGACAATTCCTCCAATACAACTAATAATTTGTTTCCGCCAGCACTCAAAGCTGAGACGGCACTGAGCAAGCCCAGCAACAGAAAAGAAAGAATCCACCTCATTTTTGTTGTGGTTGACTTCAATATTCTTTCTTTCCAAATTGTGAATTGCGCGGCTTGGAAGCTTTAGGAAACGTATGCAATGCCAAGAGTTTCCCACGGCGACAGGGATTCTGATTAGTGTCTGATAACTACACGTGATGCTGGTATAAATTCGCGACATCAACGTCGAACTTCCAGCCTCGAGTGATTTCAAACCTCGCGGAAGAAAACAGCAATAAGAAATTCTTGTAAGTTGTCCAAGAGGCCATTTAGTTGCTAGGAATCTGCTAACAATCATAGTCAAAATGTCGTCCACAATACCACGATTCTTCTCTCAGCCTTTTCGCTACATGCGATGGGCAGCCATTGAAAAGCCCGCTATCTTCTTCTCCATAGCCGTCGGAAGCATTGGACCAATTCTCGTTCTCACAGTACCAAAGATTCGTCACAGACTCGGGGATGGACCAAGACCGCAGATTCCTTTGACATACCCAAGTACGTTGATACACAAATTGGGGTTAAAAGCCAGTGATGTTTGCAACTGCTAATGAATGTGTTTCGCGCAGTGCCTTCTGGACCAAGAAAACCTTTGAGTGGCTACGATGACGAGTAAAGTTTTATGGGGTCAGGGAGGTTGTCGGACGAAACAATTGTGTTTGTACATAGGAATGGCGTCAATGAATCGAGGGAATATCTTTACCAATGATATCGAAGCGATACACTACCAAATTGATACGATGATCGAGCCCGGCTTGATGCGACTTCAGCTGGAAAAGTTGAGGTAGGGTATCGTATTTGCATTCCAAGTGGAAGACGAAAGATTGATATTTTACCCCGGCCTCGAAAAAATGATCGCATTTCTCTTTTGGCTATGGACGACTCGAAGCTTTCTATCAAGAGCCTAGTAACAGAATCTTAGGTATAATGTACCATCCACTGGCTATCGACGTGAAGAACATCACAACTCTTTGCAAGTGCTGTCCTCCAAACCATTACTCCGTATTGTCATTCTTGATATTTACAATGTCTATCATTTTGTTACTTGCACCGCGCCCACCAGTCAGCATGAATTCTCTGGCTGTCTATGAAACTAAAAGTAAAATGATTGCGTCGAATTGTTAAAAGAACGTCCGAAAGGAAAGTGGAGTACATCAATATCCCCTACATAATCAATCAAATATTCCAAAAAAATGCATGGCTGGAAAAACTTCATGATCATTCTAATTTCACACAACTTTGCATACATACAACAAATAGTGTCAGCCAGTCCTCCGTGTCTTGTGCTTCCAACTAAATGAATAAAAATCAATCATCATGATTCTTCTTTTCCTCCCCAAAGAACCAACCAGCCAGCCAATCGATTTTGCTTATTTGGAGGGCAAAATTAAACAAGTTGAAAAAAAAGACTTTGATCAGATAGGCAAAACCTCAAACTCCTAGATAGAATTTATGAATTTATGAATTTGTGCGCTCCCTCGTAAGGGATTCCCTCGTCAGGCTGCGACTTGGAGTTCTCACTGGTCCCAACACCTCGATTTTCAAAGGGTATAAGTGTTGTAATCAACAGAATGTAAGGTCAGCGAAATTTTGCTAACTGACAATGGGCCGCTTAATTTAGTAGAGCGGCAATTCACTTCTGATCTGACAGACCACTCATGAACAGGATTGAATACTCACGTTCACTTTCTTCCTCCATCCCTTATTATTGCTGCTTCCAAGAAGATTAGAAAATTCTGAGGTTTTGAAGAAGTACAATCTAATTGATACCATTCTGGTATCCCTCCTTCTCAATTTGTGAGTGCCCTCGTGAGGGTTCCCCTTTGAGGGTGTCCTGAAGTTTATATCATTGGTCTCAATACACACTCTTATCATCGAGTTGACAATATTGTAATAGACAAAGCCAGAGTACCTAACCACCAAATCACGAAATTGATCCAAAGGTCAAGGAGACTTTGTTAACTGACAGAACTCACCTTATTTCGTATCATATACGTAGAAGTGTAGTACATTCACTTGTATCGATCTAGTCAAAATTCGCTTGCGCGAGGCCCACTCACAAACAGTAGTGAATCTTCATATCGAACCCCACCACTTTCCGAAAAGTCTTACTTGGTTTTGTCAAGGAAGCAAAACCTACAAGCCTCCCCCTATATCACACTTCTTGTGGAAGCACAACTCGAGAGGGGGCTATCCTTGGCCCAGAAGAGAAGGTTTTCACTCTCTCGATCCTGTCATTGACAAAGCCGGATTCCCTAAACAAACCACCAAGCCATGAGCCCAAAGGTCGGAGAGACTTTGCTAACTGATGTGTCGTCGCTTATTTCACATCATATGGTCATCTCCCTCGATCTGACCTCACAACACGCAGTCTAACTAATAATATATCAAAGAAAGATAACGAAAGAAAGTGCGAAATCTTCACGGGAGGTCTGTCGTTAACGGAGAAGCAAAACCTAACTCCCCACGGCGGCGCGTGAGGCCGGAAACCATAGGTCCCAACCACATCAATTTTCACTTAAGTGATGTAATTATCAGAGCCGGTGTCCTAATAATTGAGACGTGATCTCATATAGCCTGGCAGACTTTGTTAAGTGATATGAGATCGTTAAGTCAGACTATATAGTAGAGTTTCAATTAATCTTTATCTTGATGTGAATGATGACCATTATCCGCACTTGAGTCTGCAAATCTATTTCTACGATCGGGGCTATCTGGTTGGAATTGGTAATCATCTTTTCGGCTCCCAAGTCGTATACTGGGTATCTAGCAACGAGCCCGCGGTGAGATAAAGTTATCATTGTGGGTTGTACTCAGAGCGGACTTATCGGTTCTTGAGTTACTAGGATATGTTCTCAAATATTTTGCGCCCCAAATGTTTCTATATCATAAGTTCATACGTTACTAAAAGCCCAATTTCGAGACATCAGCGCTCGTTGACTTTCCCTGCATCATCTCCGCCATTACTTTGCCAGTACCCAAGCTCATGCTAATACCCCAAGGTCCATGTCCTGCAGCAAGCCAGATTCCTCCAACTTTATCATTCCTGGTACTCATTCCACCCAACTTATCATCAGACACCTTCGCCAAAATGGGCGTTCCCCTTTTCGTAACCGGCCGGAAGCAAAAACCTTTTCTAATGACTTCCATTTCAAAGCTTTCGTCAAGACCAAACATTCTTCTCGCAGTTTTCTCTAATATCTGTATAGCATCTTCTTGAAACTTGGACTCTGTTGCAAGTTTTGGTAATGGTTCAGTAGAAGAATTCAGACCTGCGACATAGATCTCGCCACCCTTCCTTGAAAACACTTCAGGACAATAACCTTCCTCATCACTAGCAAATATAGCTTGACATTCTTTCTCTTCTAGCTCCTCGTTCCAATTCGGTGTTCTCACCACTAAAGAATGACCAGCTAAACTAGTGATCGGTAATTTCAACGTTGATTCTGGGAATAAGGTAGAGAATACCTCAGGTGACCAGCATCCTGCTGCTATCAGAATTTTCGTACACGGAATGTCTGATTCAATGTTTGTGGAGGTGTTCAAGATACGTATACTAGATATTTCGGATCTCATATCTTGGTGAACGGACAATGCCTTCGCAGGGTGATGAAGTTGTACACCGCGCTCAAGACAGCTAGCAAGGAGGAACTGACACAACTTGAGGGGGTCACTTGATATGTTAGTGTGATTCTGTCAGTGGGATTTCCTTTGGGATAAACTTACACTTGAGCTGTACTCCCGTCTTTACTAAGAGGTTCCATTTCATCACCCTCATTCTTTTTGAACCACTTAGGCCACTCTCCTGTAAAACCTGTCGCATCCTTCACACCCACCTCATCATTGCCACTAGCAGTCTTAGCTCTACTCCCGCCACTCTTAACCAATCATCTCCTCTAACTCCCTTCTTGCCGCTCTTTCTCGCGTTCTCCGCAGCAATGTGACTCACATAATTCATGCTTCTACTCACACTATATCCCCATTTCTCAGCACCAGCATTTCTCTCGGCAAGTTTTTTATGTTCGTCGAAGCTCAAGAGCCCCAAGCTAGACGATTCATCACAAAACCAATCGCGAGACAGAAAACCAGCTGCATAGCCTGAAGCGGATGAGAAGAGTGTGGGAGATGGGTCTACAAGTTGAATGGTGGAGGGGTCTTGGGAGAGAGAGAGATAGTATGCGGTTGAGAGACCGATTATACCGGAGCCGAGGATTACAGTGTTGGACATTGTGAGTATCCTGGGAGGAAATCTGACAAATCAATATACACACGAAATTTGAACTTAGCAAATCATATAAAATAGATAGATGTTAAGTAGGTGCTCCAATGCTGCATGTCGACGACGCTCTTCCGTCCTGCCCCGCAATCGGCATGACGTAATGGTTCAATGACAGTGAAGCATTCTGCTAGATATATGTAGATTGATGAGTGTTGGCAACAGTGGAATAGATATGTCAGCGGATAAGTATGCGTAAAATCGTCTTAGGTAACCACAAATAGTTGAACTTTTTCTTATCTCAAACTTCCCATATGCATGAGTGGGTGAGCAGTGTTGAAACTCCAAAATTAGTAAACAGAAGATCTCAATTGCCCCACCACAGGACATCACCGCTTTTCTCACCACTCATACACCCATACAATCATCACACCATACCATTTGAAGAACGAACTATAAAATCATCAATACACGAAACAGGAAAATGGTACCCAGAACAGTTCTTCTCACAGGTGCAAGTCGGGGAATTGGCCTTGCAATTGCCCAGAAACTTCTGAGGGAAAAACATAATGTGGTACTTGTAGCTAGGACTGCAGGACCCATGGAGGAGTTGAAGAAGCAGTATCCGGAACAGGTGGAAGTTGTTGTAGGGGATTTGAGTGATTTCAAGGTGGGTGTTGAGGATGTTTAGTGTTGGAGATTTTCTGGATTTGAACGGTCCTGAGCTGATCATTGTACTCTAGTGAGGGCATGGTTGAAAGAGCAGCGGCAATAAGTTGTCTGCTTTGTCAACTTCTAGTGATGTTTTGACTGCAGTGTTCCTTGATTGAGAATATATCACAGATATATTGTACCTACCCGTTCCATTATTTCGTTTTCTTCCTATAATCCATTTTGGAGACTCAAGAGCCTACAACTAACCAAGTCCTTCATTACCAGGTAGGGCCACAAGCCGTCGAAACCACGATCAAACGCTTCTCCAAACTCGACAGTCTAATAGTCAACCACGGAACGCTATCCCCAGTAAAACGTATAGCGGACAGTACCCCCGAAGAATGGCGAGGTCTATTCGACATCAATTTCTTCAGCGCGCTAGCATTCGTTCGTCTCCTTCTCCTTCTCCTCTCCCTTCCATGCTCCAAATCTAACCATACTCTAGATAACCCCTTCAATTCCTCATCTGCGCAACACCCGGGGCACCATCTTGCTCACCTCTTCCGGTGCAGCTGCTTCATCCTACAGTACCTGGGGCCCCTACGGTTCCTCCAAAGCAGCTCTCAATCATCTTGCTCAGACCCTTTCAGTTGAAGAACCACTAATTACCAGTCTTGCCATCAGGCCTGGAGTTGTGGATACAGAGATGCAAAAGGAGGTACGGGGTCATAGTACCAGCGGCGTGATGGATAAGAAAGATGCCGAGAAATTCATTGGTTTACATGAAGGGGGAAAATTGTTGAAAGCAGAGCAGCCAGGTGGTGTTATGGCTGGATTGGCTAGTGATGAAAAACTGAGAGATGAGGGGCTAAATGGGAGGTTTTTGAGGTGAGTTGTTCTAATCTCGATGTTCGAAATATAGCTGGGAACTGATGCGATTGAAATAGTTGGGATGATCAATTGTTGCAGAGATATCGAGAGTAGGTTCCGAGTCACATGCGATGGAAGGCGTAGATGGAAAAGGAAAGGATGAAGCATAAGTATAGAATAGCTTTTCTCTTCTCATGAAAAGACGAGAGCAGGATACATGAACACAGACCAATCATAGTTCATCAGCAAACACGACCTTCACTTTTGATGAAAGGAACCAGCCAATTACCAATTGTCGTTTCATTTGAAAAAGCTTTGTTGCATATCTGAAATAATTAATTATCGTGATTTTATTGACTCCAATCGAAAGTCACAAAATGCGACCTTTCTTCTCGACCTCAGTTAGAGTAGTATATCTTTCTCTCCAACATATCACCTTATCTTTACAAGAAGCATGCCACGAACTGCCTGAATCAAATCCATCGATATGGAACAGATGTATATGTTTACATCTAGCCAGCCCTACGGGTATCATGCAAAAAGGCACCTACTCTTCCTCATTCAACTACGGCTCCCTTCTCTCCTCCCCACCATCCATTATCGTCTGCTTTAAACATTGACTTGGCGAATGCCAGGATAGAGTCTCTGGCTCATTGTGTCTTCTATGCAATTCTGAAAAGGCAGAGTTTACACTCACTCAAGACGAAGCTCCTGGTTTAGGATTACCCTGCGCGCTCCCGCCTCGCTTCATTAACCCGGCAAAGAAAGATGCTAATGCTTCGTTTTGGACTTTGCCTTCCGTAGATGGATCAGTACGAGTGCCTGGTGCTGCCGACTCTGGTGAAGAATATGCTTGTCGGTCCTGCGCCTGATTAGTTTTGCCCAAAGTCGCCAGGTAAGGAAAAGCACTTACCCGTAATCTTTGCAACATGTCATCGGCATCAACCTGAATACCGCCCATATTAAACTGTACTGGGCCAATGTGCTCACTAACTCTTCCTTCATCCGATGCTTTCTCATCGCCATTCCCATATTCACTAGACACCTTGCGGCCATTAACCAAACGACTGCTATCTACACTCGAGACATCTGGCCCCTGGCTAATTGTATGTAGTATTTCGACTTGAGAAGCCAGGAAACTCTGAGCATCAAGACTAGACACTTCCAACTTAAGACCTTGTGATTCTGCAGACGTGGCTTGAAGGGCATCGAGACTGGGATCTCGAATGACTTCTTCGTATGCTGATACCGCACTTTCAGGTACTGGCAACGGTGGTTGTGAGTGTGTACTACTATCATCACTAGATGAATCTTCTTCGATGTCAAGTGACCAGCCTTTGTTCACTTCCTCTACATTGAAACCTTCGCGCAGAACTCGGATTTTACCCCAAGAGTCCCAATTTGGCGGCACAACTACCTTGTCGCGATCAATAAGATTGTGTCTGATAGGTTGTCTTTTGAGAAGAGAATGTATGCCGAGAGAGGAGTGTATTAAGCCTTGCAGAGGACTAATAACCCCTGGTGTTGTGTATATGAGGGATGCCCCATCTGATATAGTTAGCATGTGTTTGATTGTTAAAGATATATAACCTACGCTTGAGGAGGATTGTGCGCAAATACTGTAGAACGTAATCAAACTCATCTTCCCTCCAAGACCGTTCCTTCTCCAGCGTTTCGATTTTGTCAGACTAGACACCTGTTAATATAGCACATATGCGCCTGCACAAATGAACCTACGTTTTGACAAACCACGCACAGTGGTAAACCCAGAGCCTCTTCCCACTCTCCAGGACCCAACGGCAAGCTAACATCCCCCTCAGTAGCAGTGCTCCCTCCGCCATCTAAGGTACTTCCACCACGCCCTCTATCCCTCCAGCTAATCATTACTTCTTCCATTTTCTCCTTACAATCTTCATCCAGAGATATCAATAACGGCCGCAGAAGACGTATCCAGTCCCGCAGTTCTCTCAGCCAGAACCATGGTTGCGACCAGTCTAGTAATATGACAATAAGAGTGTTTGGGATTGTTTGTGGTGTGAGAAGTGGTTGCATCAGAGGTGTGAAAGAGGGCGAAGGGTCGGCGAGTAAGTATAAGGACAATCGAGCCAAAATATCTAGATAGAGTCAGGTTCTCATCAATGTAGTCAACTGCGCCAAATGAAGCATACCTTCATGATCCGCATCCAAAACATCATGATATGTGTATCCCAAAGCAAAGTTGTTTGCAATAGGAGGTTGTTTGCTACTTTGTCTATCCTGAGATTTCCTGGTCTCATCCACCGACAGAGCCTCTAGAAATTCTTTCTGTGAATCCGCGGTTCCTCCTATTTCATATTAGTATATCACCTCTTCAGCACATTCGGGATGCTGCTGCAGTACCTAGCACAAGAATATTCTTCTCTGGTAATCGTTTTCCACTTGCGACTCCATCCAACATAGACGACCACATATCCTTTTTCTCCTCATCATCCGTTGATGTCGTAGCTTGCGTATACGTCGACGCCCTGTTGTTTGCCATATCCGCTGTTCTGGAGGTTTATTTACTTCCTTTCCCCTGTATTACACTCGTAACCATGCAGTTTGTAGGTCAATCTTTGAAGCCTGAGTAAGTGTCGTTGGTTTCCCCCGGCCCAAAAATTTCCCATCCAATATATGGGAGGTAAGTAATCAATGAATTCCGTATTTATCGCATTGGCTATTCTAGACTTCATCAAGTTCTGTGTTTTGGGGAAGCTTCATAAAGTTGTGAACGTGAATCAATGCAGTGGAACACGCGAGGCAGGGGCCCGAATTTATTATTTTGCAGCCTTGTCCTTGCTTCTTCCGCCTCACCTACCTGGTGCATTCGTTACAACTCATTACTCTACACATAACAATATGAATAGCATTCGTCAGATTCAAGAGCTTAACAGACGTGAATTGGAGAATGAAGTGTAAGTAGGCAGTTATTTTAACTTTGTTGCCAAACTAAATATTCTCTAGTTCTCCATCCGCCTCGTGGCATACGGATTATCGCGACACAGCTTACATCTATATAGGCGGCCTTCCTTTTGAGCTTTCCGAAGGCGACATCCTGACTATATTCTCACAATATGGCGAGCCTACATATATCAATTTAATACGGGACAAAGAAACTGGAAAATCTAAAGGGTTTGCGTTCTTGAAATATGAGGATCAGAGGAGTACGGATTTAGCTGTTGACAATTTAGGAGGAGCGGTGATTGCGGGCAGGACGCTTAAAGTGGACCATACGAGGTATAAGAAGAAGGAGGGAGGAGAAGATACTGGAATGGATCTGAATGGGGAGCTGGATGCAGAAGGAGATGAGAGGCGGAAGAGGAGAAGGACTGATGGAGAGAGTGAGGATAGCGAAGACGAAGAAGTACAGAGACCAATGCTCAAAGAGGAGAGGGAGTTAGCGCTGCTTATCAGGGACCATGACGAGGACGATCCGATGAAAGCATTCTTAATCGAGGAGAAGAAGGAAGAAGTCGCAAAAGCACTGGCAAAGGCGAAAGGAGGAAGCAAACCTGAGAGGTCTGAAAAGAGCAGAAAGCATAAACATCACCATAGATCTAGGCGGATCAAGGATGAAGAAAATTTGGATGATGGTCATCGATCTCGGCATAGGTCTCATGGCCATGATAGAGACCGGGATCGAGATCGCGAGTCTAGGAGAAGATCCCCAGACGATGATAGAAAAGAAAGGAGGCCACGGCGAGAAATATCACCAACGGAGGATGAGAGTGAGAAATTCAGCTCTCGATCACGGAGAGATAAAGAAGAAGATCCGCCAAGGCGTCGCGATTCTGAACGAGATGTTAGGCACAAGGATAGGGCCAGTGAGCGACGAGGGAAAAGAGATGATTCAAGGGGGTACGAACATGATAGACGGAGGCACTAGTAATGCAGTGTAAGAGAACCTTAGCATTGGCTCGTCAGAGATTCTATGACCTAGTTGATGCAATATGCAAGTTCTTATGCATGAATATCCCTGAATAGCCCCAAATACACGCTCAATGCTCATCCATATATAATGCAACCTAATTAACTCCAATCATGAGGGTATTTGGCTCCTCGCCGTGTCGTGTCATACATGCATGAAAAGTGACTGGTATCTATTCGACTCTCATGATTCTCTTCCAGCCATCCCGTATACAGTAACGCTTGCCGTCTTCACCTTCGGCAATGATAAATTTCTCCCATCGGCTGTCAGTGCCTGCTCCAACGACAATTAGGCTCTCATCACTCGTCCATCCGATGACACCTTTCGAGGCTTTGGGTCCAGCGTCACTCGCTGTTAGTGGGTTAGAAGATGCAGACAAAGGCTCCTCGCCAATTGAAAATGTGGCAGTTGCAAAAGAATATATGTCCGAGAATAATCGGGGCATCAAAGGTAGTTTCCCTAGAATTCCCCACTTGTTTCTTGCATCGGAATCTGGAGTCGTCGGACTACTGCTACCACCGCCACCAAGGGATGTGAGCCGTCGATGACTTGTCGCCGATTCTGATCGTGGAGGTTTCGAGGGATGTGGAATATCAAAAACGTGAAGCGTAGCTTTATCTGATGTAACAGCAAGGAGCTGTCCTGACGGGGAAATGGAAATGGAAAAAATGTCGGCGTGATCAACACCTCGTCTGAGTTCAGCTATCTTTGCACAATTGGTGGTTGCAAATACTCTAACCAGTGTACCCTATATTGACATGAGCTTCGGAATTTAAAGATAATAACATGAATAATGATCAAAGGCTTACAGTTTCGCTAGCAGTTGCAATGATCTCATCATCACGGCTTAAAGCTAGAGCTCGAAGAGCTCCCGTATGAGCAGGTATAATGCTGACATTTCCACTGTTGAGTTCGACCACTTGTACTTGCCCGGCTGTTCTGCCGGGAAATATCAAGATGCTGGCACTCAAGCAACAAAGTCCATAAAGATTGCTTGCAGTTTCATAGGCCTGATATAGTGTAGGGTTGCTTTGGAAATGATAAACACGAATGCTGTTTAGAAGGGCAACTACTATATGAGTCCTCGTGATTCGAACTCCTCTGACAGAAGTAAGAACCGATACTTGTGCGGCAATCTTTGCTTTTAAATCATCCCAAATGATTACCTACAGGAACGTTAGGCCAAACATGAATTAATCCTCCCCACTCGAATCTACTCGCCTTATTCTGAGCGAACTTTGGTTGTTTTCCACCACCAACTAGAGCAATGTAGTTGGTATTCCCAAGCATCTGTGCTGTTCCAACCCCGCCATTGAAGTCTACCTCTGTGGTCAGTACCGGTCGGTTGAGAGATTGTGGCTTGAGATATACCTCTGGCAACTCGTTGTTGACATGCTTCTGTGTTGAACACTATAATTGATAGTTAGAAAGTTCCTCAAGAACCGTCTTTTGAGACGCACCACGAAATCCTGTGTCGAGTCCAATAGCAAAACAGCTAGCATCGTGGTTAAAGGAAGCTGATAAGGCTGTGGGATTCCTTGAGTCCTCTATCAAGGGCCTGGTATTCATCTTCGATAGCGATAACGTGCTCCAATGTTATTTCTCCCAATGATTTCCAAAGAAATGATGTACAAAAACGATGTGAAATTTGTCATCAACTTTTTGAGGTGTTCACTACTCTTGGGATTCGATATTTTGGATTATGAGATGGCTTGCGACAACTACGATATTCTCGATATAAACCATCAAAAGTAGGTATTGTCCTGCGCGGTACTGTATTATATGCTGCTGTGTGTGTGTGGATATGATTGCGCTATTTCAGCGGGCTAGGCATACTCTGCACAGTAGCAGGCTGTCAAATACCTGCAATTTCCATCTACCTATGCAAGATATTAGGTACTGTAACGTGGGTGTCCGCCGTTCGTAATTGTAATTAATGACAAGACTAGGGGACCCTTCTCAGCGTTGTCCCGAGCCTAGTGGGTAGATTTAATAAATGTTTTCCAACTTGTTGAACCATCAATTAAGGGTATCAATCATGACAGATCTGTTTCAGGGCCTAGGATTTTTGGGGTTTAACTCCCAACGCTAATCACGTACAGTACAGTACAGTGCAGGAAAAGTGAATGTATAGAAATGTCCCTTCAATTCGACTGGATGTGAGGTTTGTCGTTGTTATTGAGGATATTGATAAGAAGAACTCAACCATATCATGATTATGTTTCATCCCCCAAGATAAACTGTGACACCCCAGAAAATTGCTTCTCTCAGCCTCGCACTGAGTTGCACAAGCTCTATCACCCGCTGCTTAATTAGGTAAAGCGTTATATTTCGCTAATTTATTCCCCTGACCTGAAGAAGCAACGACTTGTCGACCGATAGTTTACGAGAGAGTGAATATCCGCGACTTCGATTTCCAAAGTTCAACAGAGCGAAAGCACTTTATTTTCTTCCATCAATTCTTCCTCTTCAATCAACCTTTCCCCTTTCAATTTACAAGCCAGTTCAATCGTTTTTCCTCGTGGCTTAAGCCTCGTAATAATAAGACAATCATGTCGTCCCCTTTGAATGCTGTATGTTTATCCCTATCAATATCTTTTTTTGCTCCATGTCCAAAGTCTGGATAATCTGACCGCAACTTCCCCAATAGTTCTCATCTGGGGTTTGTTCTCGCATTTCGAAGTTTGATCAATACTAACTCAGCGATTTCCCTAGATCAAGATGCGAAGAAAGAAGAATGTCAAGAAGGGTATCCAGTTCTGTTTGATGGTCTGCGGTGCATCAGGCACAGGTACGATAGCACACTGCACACTTGGATATCAGGGGTGGTATTAACTGGATCTCACAGGACGAACCACTTTCGTGAATACTTTATGCGGCAAAAAGGTGCTCTCTGGCAAGGATGCCGACGATGCGACAAATGCTCATGTCGAGGAAGGTGTCAAGATTAAGCCAACCACAGTTGGTAAGCAACATTTGGACCTATAAATTCTATCTAAATCGAACATTGACTGACACTCTTGCAGAGCTGGAATTAGATGAAGAAGGAACCCGTATTTCACTCACGATTGTCGACACACCTGGCTTTGGAGACCAAATCGACAATGAGGCAAGGTAGGAGAGACAATGCACAACATGAACGATTTCAGCTGACAGATGCGAAGTTTTGGAGAGATCGTTGGCTATCTTGAGAGACAATACGACGATATTTTGGCAGAAGAATCCCGTATCAAGCGTAATCCTCGTTTCCGCGACAATCGTATTCATGCATTACTTTATTTCATCACCCCTACCGGCCACGGGTATGTCACATCTCAATCTTCACCTCCCAATTTCAAGCTAACGTACTTTACAGCCTTCGCGAATTAGATATCGAGCTTATGAAGCGTCTCTCTCCTAGAGTTAATGTTATTCCAGTTATCGGAAAGGCCGATTCCTTGACACCTGCTGAACTTGCAGAGTCAAAAAAGCTTGTCATGGAGGATATCGAGCACTATAGAATTCCTGTCTACAACTTCCCTTACGATATCGAGGAGGACGACGAGGATACAGTTGAGGAGAATGCTGAGCTTCGTGGTTTGATGCCATTCGCCATCGTAGGATCAGAGGATGTTGTTGAGATTGGTGGACGTCAAGTTCGGGCAAGACAATATCCATGGGGTGTTGTAGAGGTTGATAACCCAAGACATTCCGACTTCCTTGCCATTCGAAGCGCCCTTCTACACAGTCATCTAGCAGATTTGAAGGAAATAACCCACGATTTTCTGTATGAAAACTACCGTACTGAGAAGCTTAGCAAGAGTGTTGAAGGTGGTAGTGGAGGGTATGTTTTATTCATTCTAATCATGATTGATCAATGCTAATAGCTCTATAGTGATGCTTCTATGAACCCTGAGGACCTGGCATCTCAATCTGTCCGCCTAAAGGAAGAGCAACTCCGCCGCGAGGAGGAGAAGCTCAGAGAGATTGAGATCAAGGTGCAACGAGAGATTGAGGCGAAGAGACAAGAGTTATTGGCTCGTGAGAGTCAATTGAAGGAGATCGAGGCTAGAATGCAACGCGAGCAAACTGCTCATCTTGAAGCAACCAACGGAACGCATACGTCAGCGGAGGCTGAAGCTTAATGGTGATGATGATGTACAGGGGAAATGTGTTTATGCGTAAAAACATGGATGGATGACTGGTGGCGATGGAGAAGTCTTTCGATTGCTGCATACGCTTTCGTTCGGATTTCTGGGGCTGTGGATTTTCTTTTTGCAGGTCGTTGACGGCGCTGCATTTATTCTGGCTCCTCAAAAAGCTAATACCGTAGTTTCTTATTGCCTTCTAATGTGCAGCTAAATCGATATTTATTTCTTATTAGGTCAATAATTCTTGAAAACAACAAAGCTATCTTGGTATACATGATATTTTCAGTGATGTGCCTTTTGTCTTATGTTTGAGTATGGCGAATATCACGCGTGCAAAAGTTGAATGTCGTAAATTGACATGTTGATTCACCACCAAAAACTTGACAGACATTTTTAATTACACTGCAACAACAATTATTTTCATGTTTCAATTACCTTGGTAGCTATATAAATCACGCACAATTTTCCTTTGAGGAGGCGGCGCTAATGATACAGTTACACCCCGTCATCATATGACATTACATACATTACGTTAGGCTTCCTCGGCACTTTAACTATTGCCTCTCCGCAGTGCCTCATCTAGACTCAATCATTTCAACATCACTATTCAACCTTTCAACCCTATTATCGCAGTGCATCGCACATCATCAACAAACAAATTTTCGAGACACCAATAAACTATGGCGTCGAACACAAAATATACTCGCGCTTCCCAGCGAGACTCGCTCGATGATCCCGCACATTATTCGCAAGCCCCTCCATCTTATGCTGAACCTTCCACATCTGCGGATAATGATGCTCTCCTAGGAGGACCAAGAAGCAGCGAGGACAACATTCCGGATGACTTCAAGGTATACAAAAGACCTACGGCGTAACATTCGCAACATATAATCTAACAAAGGTGTAGTTTGGAGGTTCTGTCGCTGAAGCAACTATTGAGATCCGCATGCAGGTATGAAGAGCTGGTTTATCAATAATCAGACTGTCTAATTTCTAACATTCCTTTTAGTTTGTCCGAAAAGTCTACTCTATCCTGTTAGTATTGCGCAACTCTACCAACATGATTTCGTTGTGCTAATCTTCTTGTCAGCTCTGTACAACTCATTGCCACAGCCGCTCTAAGCTCCGTCTCCTTCTTCAGCGAATCCTACAAAACCTGGATTCAGTCAAACACTTGGATGTTATGGACTTCGGTACGTTAGATTCTTCTAGCAACACTTGGACGATGCTGATATTTGTAGATGTTTGGCGCAATTGGTTTCATGCTCTTGACCTACTGGAAGCGCAAGTCATATCCAACCAACTTGTTGTTTCTTGGAGGATTCACAGCGCTCGAGGCATACTCGATATCGGTCATCGTATCGACATTTGATTCTCGCATTGTTCTTCAAGCCGTCTTACTTACTGCCGGAATATTTGTTGCGCTGACACTCTTCGCCTGCCAAACCAAATATGATTTTACGTCATGGATGCCTTATCTCTTTGGTGGACTTTGGGCATTGATTCTCTTCGGATTCATGGCCATGTTCTTCCCAAACAACAGTACGGTTGATTTGATTTATTCTGGTATCGCCGCTCTTATCTTCTCCGGCTACATTCTCGTTGACACCCAGCTCATTATGAGACATTATCACGTGGAGGAGGAGATTGCAGCAGCTATCAGTCTTTACCTTGACATCATCAACCTGTTTTTGGCCATTCTCCGAATCCTTAACAGCCAACAAAATAACTAGAAAGAATGCTATGGTCAGATAGTGGCATCGGGAAATGATCGAAGCAGGATGCCAGCTTGCTTTTATACTACAACTTTCAATGGACCAAACATTATTATGGGGTTATGGGTTAATTTGAAAACTAGTACTATTAGGATGAGGTTCCTGTGGGGTTTTGGGATCTTTCTGGGGGTGGTTTATTTGTTTCGATAGCTCTTTCCCCTTTACATGAAGCAAACTCATATCCAATGTTATATTGTCAGTTTACATGCAGGAATTCCTTTCTACCATTTATTTCTGGTTGAAGATGTCTAGGTACGACAGGTCTGATCTTGATGGATCGCCCCCTCCTATTCGGGTCTAACTAATACCGAAGGGGTAATGAAACATCTCATCCCGAAAAAACCTCCTCAACGAAAAAGTGATTGTGTTGTGTGCAGTGCGCACATACTGGTGCGGTACGATACTTGCATGATGTATCCCTTGTAACGTCTAGAAGACAGCCCTCTACACTGAGACCTCCTTGAGTCAATTGACAAACTAAACTATTGATTAACTAGATAGCTTGGCTTCGTCAATACCGGCTGTGAGCTAATCAAACCCTGAGCACTAAGTGCATATTTGGGGAGAGGGTGAGAGGGTCTCCCGACTCCCGTAGAGTATATTCCCCGAAGAAAAAAGTGGTCGTTGAAGTCAGATAGAACTCAAGATAACCACTCGAGCCAGTCCAATGTTGATCGTGGGCCGTTGTTTGGTTTACTTATTAACCCCTTTGGAAACATGAGGGTGGGGAAAAAAGAGGATCCAAAGGTGCATATTCTCTTCCTTTCCTCTCCTTCCTCGTTCAACCAAGGCTTTTCCCCCCTCCCGAGTACCCTCCTTAAGAGTATCTGAGTTACTTGAGAGATGATAGAACATCTTAGATACACCACATAAATTTATCTGTGAATACCTAGGTACTTCGTAGTATCCTTCATTGAGATATTGTCTCCTCTTAAGTCTTGAGTCTTCGAAGTTCACAACTTCACACATCAACAAATGCATTCTATTCGAATCTGACCCACCCGCACAATGACAGTATCATTAATTTGATTCGTCGATCGGACCGCCTTTTTTTCTGAAATGTAAAACGAACCCCTTCTTTTTACTACTGTGACGCTGCAGCCACTCACTCAAATTGGATGATTGGATCCAAACCGAACCCACCTGTTGCTGCAAATCGCTCGTCAAAAAAAACAACCCCCCCCAAGTACAACAACTCGCTGAGCACAGTTGATTATTCACTTCTTTCACCGCCTTCTTCTTTGCTCACTGCCAGATAATTCAAAACTGTCCCATCCATCTTTCAATTATATACTCTCTCCAACCCACATTCGTTTTGACTCGAATCCGGACTGGTTGTACTCTCCTATAACATCATACGAGAAGTCAAATATTCTATGATATATTCACTCATTTAATATTTCGGGTTTCAAAGGACAATTGGGAGAGAAATATATGTATTCCTCACTCAATTGAACCTCAACAATTGTTTAACCACCAATTCAAAATTTACCTTTCTCTCTCTCTACTTTCATCAAGTCGCCATGAACTCTACTTCTCCAATCGACACGATTGAAGATGGCACAAATGAAGCTGCGTCAGAGTGGGCACACCACAAAGGAGACTCTGTTATTCCTATAGAGAAGAAACTCGACAATTCAACAGAATATCCAGCTCGCCCAATTATGGGCAAAAAAAAGGCCAGAAGGAAAGATGATAGTCCTCTGGATATCATTTGCAGATTTGTTGTGAACCATCAAACTGGTAACTTTCTGTACTCTATTTTTTTCCTAGGATCTTTTGTTAATGTTGAGCCTTAGGACTATCTGTCAATCTATTGATGCTCCTTTCCTTAACGCATATGTGCTTTCCAAGAGCCCGCAGACATACTCGCAAATTCTTCGAACTTTCCTACTACAATCCAGAATCTGGCGAGTATTGCGCCGGTTGGGATGATGCTTGGTTAGTGTCCTATTGGATTGTTATCTTTACAGGACTTCGCGCTGCTTTCATGGATTATATATTGAGACCATTGGCAAGAAAGGGTGGGGTGAAGAATCCGAGGGATGAGACGAGATTTGCTGAGCAGACTTGGCTCATGATCTATTATTCTGTGTTCTGGACACTGGGAATGGTTAGTTAGAGTATGAAACTCTTTGAAGACTTCTTCGCTAATACATGGATAGTATATATACGTCAACTCAGACTACTGGTGGAATTTGAGCGAGCTGTGGACCAATTGGCCTAATCGAGAAATTGGTGGACTTCGAAAGTGGTATATCCTCGTCCAATATGCCTTCTGGCTTCAGCAGATTATTGTCATCAATATCGAGGCACGTCGAAAGGATCATTGGCAAATGTTTACTCACCACATCGTTACAACTGCGTTGATTTTCACAAGTTATGGCTATCATCAAACGAAAGTTGCAAATGTAATTCTTTGTTTGATGGACGTAGTAGACCTTTTCTTTCCAGTAAGCACACCTCCTTTACCCCCTTTACTGCACAAGAGCTAGCACTAATCTTCCATAGGTTGCAAAATGTCTCAAGTATCTCGGATACGATAAATTATGTGATCTTATGTTCGGACTCTTCATGCTCTCTTGGGTAACGGCCCGCCATGTTTTCTATCTTATCATCTGCTATTCGGTTTGGGCGGATATCCCAAGGGTGATCAATTATGGCTGTTACCAGGGTAAAAACGGGTCTATCTCAGGTCCTTTCCCGCCTCCTGATCGCTTTGGACACCTCTTCAAGCCATTTCAAGATCCGGTCGGAGTTGTTTGTTGGAATAACAACATAAAATGGGGCTTTCTTAGTGCCTTGCTTTTCCTTCAAGGTATCACACTAATGTGGTTCTGGATGATTGTTCAAGTTGCTATCAAAGTCGTCAGAGGTGGCCAAGCAGACGATACACGAAGTGACAACGAAGACGAAGATGAGGAAGACATTGATTTGGATGAGGAGCCCTTTCCCGAGGAAGTTCCCTTGTTGGAAAAGGAGCCATATGAGGAAGAAGTCGGCGTTGAAGAATTGAACCTGGAGAAAAGAACATCGAGAAATAGTCGATATAAGAAAACTACGAGCAGTGCTAGTGGCGTCAGCATCCCGGGACACAGCGATAGAAAGGAATTGCTGGGCAGGATTGGTTGTGACAAAGGCGTTTAGAAAATATGCTGGGGTTCAGATACATGGATTTTCCTGCTCCCGATGTATGGATGACAGGAGGGTGAAAAACTGGGGAGTGAGGAAGACCCCTCGCGAGAATTAGCGAGGAATGCCATTTTTCTTGCTTCTTATTCGTGGTATATGGCACGGGATTTCTTATTTTTACACAGATATCGGGAGATACCGACTGGTTTTTGGAGAGTTATGATGATAAAACATACCCGTTTCTTATTTTATGAAAAGTTGAATGAAGGAAAGGATATTTTCCAATCGAATTTCCATTTCAAGGAGTTGCATATCATTCGAACTTTTTTAATGATGATCTCGTTTTGGTAGTGGTGAAGGGAGGGACTCTTGTATCTATGTGTTCATGTATGTGGATTAGATGTGAATGAAAAGATTATGCCCAGTTTCAGACAGAGCTTTGGGTGCATTTGGTTGAATAAGACACCGATGGTTAGACGTGACTTTGAGGGCAATATTTCTGATGTCTGATGGGAGAAGAAATAGATGTATCAGTGTGAATTATAAAAATTAGTTGCACGAAGGACGCGAATATCGAGTTGGTAGTTGGAGTGAATTCAGGTAAAGTTAACAAAGGCATGAGATATAAGACAGAGAGGGGAAAATTGAGGAGCTGTTGGGAATTGCATCTATCTACACAAGAGAGGATGGGGTTCGACTTCTATTCTTAGTTCCTTGGTCTGCCCCCTCTTAAGCTGTTAACGCATTCAGAATGACGACTTCTTCTTGACTAAGAGAAGAACCGATATTAGGTGTATTAATCATCCTTAGATGTGCTTTCATACCACCTACCCATGATAATAAATATCAAACCAAACTCTCTTTACTACCAACCCAATCAAAACCCGACGCATTCGGACTTTTAGACAGATAGGTAATCTTCAAATAGATCCCGGATGACCGGTACTTTGAGCGGGGCCGTGGCTGCAGAAAGGAAAAAAGCATGGCGAACATGGTCTTTTTTTTAGTGTAGTGTGTATACCGAGTCCGAGGTTTACGAAGAGTAGACGTGTACTCTATATAAAGTATTTTTTGAAAGGGCTCGGGAGCGAAATGTTCCATGCGTGTGGAGAAGGGCTGATTGAAGGAGCTTGAGAGGAGTGAGTGTCTGGGCTATGACAGGACAATGTCAGGGCAAGCTTGTTAAGGCAGGTCCCACCGTATTGGTGGTGGGTTTGTGTATAACTTTAACTTTAACAATAATACATCATACATATATTTCTGGCATTTCTCTTTAACAATCTTTTTATTTTCTTCTTTCCAAGTTCTTGTTTCTACTGCGTAGAAGAGTGGATTTTCGATAACGGGTAGCTTCTTCATTAGGTGAATCTGGCAGCGACATCAGGACAGCTTAAATTGAGACATTGAGGGACAATTCAACATATTTTCGGAATGGCGGCGCCGGTAGATCCAGCGACGAGAAAGAAGGTGTTGAAAGTGGTCTTCTTTTCGCTGTTATTAGATTTGGTGCGTCTACACAATGGGCAGATTCAATCGCGAAAGATAGCAAATAGCTAACACACCCATTTTAGATCTCGTATGATAGACTTTCCACTTGAAACAAGTAGACATGAGGATAGCGAACTAACGCGCTACTTGGGCAGATTCACATTCATATTACCTCTATTTCCAAAGCTGCTGGAATTCTATAGGAAGTACGTTTTTGCAATTTCCCAAGTACCCGGACAGATATCTAATATGGAAACAGTCTTGAGGCGCCAACTGCCTTTTCCTCTTCATCCAAGTCTCCTACACTTCTCGCACATATTCTCACATATCTCAATACA